ACACACATATATATAAAGATATACATAAGTATATATATATATATATATATATATATATATATACATATATATATATATATAGGTATATTATAAATAAATAAATATATAATTATAAGTAAATATATATATATATATATATATATATATTATACTTACACACACATACGCGCGCACACACACAGACACATGTATATATACATATATATATATATATATATATATATATATATATATATATATATATATGTATGTATATATATATATATATAACAATATAACAATATAACAATATAATACAACAATATAGCAAAATAACTTAAACAAATATACAGATATACATATATATATTATATATACATCTATATCTATATCTATAGATAATAATAATAATAATACAATTCTTCGCAACCTGCAGACCGGTATAGCCCTTATCAAGCAAGTACGAATCAATCAGAGAAGTCGGTCACCTCAGGAAGTACGTAAACTGAATAGGTACGAATACAATATCCGTATTATACATATACATCTCCAGTCATTTCCGCATACCGGTGTGACCTTTGGGAAGCTTGTACGCAATCAATCGGAGGGGCTGGTCACCCCAGAAAGTACGTAAACTGATAGGACGCACACCAGGCAAGTTGCACACTTGCCACTTGGTAAAGTCCATGTACATGCCGTGCATGCTGAAGCTGTAGGTGTTCTATGGGGTGTGTGGTAATGGTCAATTAAGAGGAAACAGTCGGTTAGGAAAGTGATAGGACGCACACCAGGCAGATTGCACACTTGGCACTTGGTAAAGTCCATGTAACTTAAACACTCAGATACACACCTCTGCGAACAATTACGTATATACATTCCTACATACAAACACATACACGCGAGTATCTATAAACACGCAGCAAAACACACACCTATATATATATACACATACATACACACACACACACACACACACACACACACATATATATATATATATATATATATATATATATATATATATATATATATATATATATATATGTATATATGTATATATATATATATATATATATATATATATATATATATATATACATATGCATATATATATATATATATATGTATATACCAGGATCCACGCATACATACAAATACATACAGATATGAATATGTATATACCAGGACACACTCATACACACAAATACAGACACATGCCCATATATGTACCATGCCACACATCTTATTCACATAGGTACATGCATCCATCCGTGAATGTATATACCAATACACACACCTATTTGCATAGGTACATACGCCCATATGTGCATATATATACCAAGCCACACACCTATACACATAGGTACATACGCCCATATGTATATGTATATACCAAGACACACGCACACACCCACCCACCCCATACACCCACCCACCCATACTCACCCACCCATACTCACCCACACCCCCACACACACCTCTGGGACATAAGTATGGACCAGAGCACATCTCTCTGCCTTGGTGAGAGTTTCGGGGAACATCTGCAGCCCCATTGGCGGAGGGGTGTCTCCTGGTGCTGTGATGACAATGCGGTCTAAGGCCCTGCCTGCGGGGAAGGCGATGTGTGGCTGCTCCTGTTCGGTACCAAAACTGTAGTGTGCACCTGAGATAGTCCTGTTTATCTGGGGGGAACAGGGTGGTGCATGGGGTGTTAGGGTTGGTGATTGTGGATTGGAATGTGTAGGTAGGTAGTCGGAGGAATGGTGTCTTAATATGGTCCTACAGTCGGTGTTTGTATGTGTTGGTTGTGATTGTATATAAGTAATAGGATTAAAGGTATACTACTATGATCCTATAGGCGGTGCAGGTATGTGTTGTTTCCGATTGTATAAGAGTGTAGTAGGTAAGTAGCAGGTAAGTAGTAGGGTTTAAGGTAAATGGTCCTATAGGCGGTGTTAGTATATGTTGTTTCTGATTGTATAAGAGTGCAGTAGGTAAGTAGTAGGAAAGTAGTAGGGTTTAAGGTGAATTAAATATAGTCCACCGCTATGTCTTGTTCAATCAGGCGCTGATGCTTCGTGCGGTGACTCGCTTTCGATACGAAAGCTGTCCACAAGCTCCTCGTTTGAAACAAAAATGCCACAGATTTTACCTACCACAGTAACACAGAGCTTCGCGAGTGCCTTCACCACCATGCCAAACTGGACCGGGTCCGGTATCTCCATGCCCAAGTACAGATCAGACCCCTCCGAACTCTTCTTGAATTGTCCTTGCACCTTTTTTTTTTTGAATTTGGGTGCAAGCACAGGCCGTGAATGTACAGAAAAATCAGGACTTTTGGGCTGTAGGTTGTCGATCTAATCTGTGCTGTAACGATTTGCGGGACATGTGCGGGTTGTGTATGTACAGAGATAAACGCTGGCACTTTGGTTCGAGTGCCCGATATATATGATGTATGATATATATGATATATGATGTATATGATGTATGATATGTATGATGTATGATGGATATGATGCATGATGGATATGATGCATGATGTATATAATGTATGATATATATATGATGTATGATGTATATAATGTATGATATATATGATGTATGATATATGTATGATGTATGATATATATATGATGTATGATATATATAATGTATGATATATATAATGTATGATATATATGATGTATGATATATGTATGATGTATGATATATATATGATGTATGATATATATAATGTATGATATATATAATGTATGATATATATGATGTATGTGCCTGGCGGATGGGAGCTTAGTAACTACTTGATCAAGTAACCTACAGAAGCACGTATACAGACATGCATATGAAGCACATGTATGTATTTATATTTAAGGACTATGTGTAAACAAAATCCTAAATTATGGTACCTGCAACCTACAGAAGTACGTATATATGCATACATATGAAGCAAATAGACGTATATATACATCAGAGTACAATACGTGAACTAAATCCTATTGTATGACACCGGCATCTCGAAGCTACGCTTCCAGCCGTTTAAATACGGCCTGTAGTACGTATTTCTGAAGAAAAAAAAAAGCGAAAACGTACACAACTTATGTATATATACAAAATGAAAGTATGTATGCCCATTAACATACCTACACACAACTGATGTATATCTACGAAAAGAATGTATATATACACAATAACATACCTATACACAACTGATGTATATCTACGAAGTGAATGTATGTATGCACATTAACATATCTACATACAATTTATATGTGTCTACAAAGTGAATGTATGTATGCCCATTGACTTACATTCACATCGTAGATATAGTGAAAGTATGTATGTATGCATACTAAATAGCCTACCTGTATCTCAAAGTTTCGCTTCTTGCCTTCAAAGTACGGTTTGTAGTACGGGTCTTCTGGTTGTGGTTTGAATTTCGGCAACACGTGGCCTTCGAATTCGCTGTTGCTGAAGTGTGTGGGTTCTCGCGCATTGGGGACGAGCAGGGGCGTGCCATCTATTTATAGAACACAGAAAATGTAAATGAGGATGTGGTATATGTATGGACTACCTATTTATGGAATTCATAAACGTACTTAAGGATTTAGTATATGTAAGGATGATCTATTTATAGCACACATGAACATATTTGAAGTTCTAGTATTTGTATAAACCATCTATTTATAGAACACATGGACACATTTGAGGATTAGTATATGCATGGATCGTATACTAGTAGGTACAATGGGTGGTACTGCAGTCTCTGAACACATGAACACATTTGAGGATTAGTATATGCATGGATCGTATACTAGTAGGTACAACGGGTGGTACTGCGGGGTACATAAACGTACCAAAGGATATAGTATAGGCAAGGATGATCTATTTATAGCACACATGCACATATTTGAAGATTTAGCATATGTATAAACCATCTATCTATAGTACACATGAATATATTTGAGGATTAGTACATGCATGGATCGTATACCAGTAGGTATAATGGGTGGTACTGCAGTTTCAGCAATCTCAGTGAACGCATCCGTGTCGGTGCCACACATCACACGAACGCCTACGCATCCTTACATGTAGTCATGAATGTGCTCTGAAGGTGTACAGGTATCTACCTACATATGTAGTCATGAATGTGCAATGTGTACAGGTATCTACCTACACATGTAGTCATGAATGTGCTCTGAATGTGTACAGGTATCTACCTACACATGTAGCATTGAATGGCTCTGTCTGTGTACAGGTATCTATCTACCTACCAGCACACGTCATGTCTCGGATGATCAAGGGAATCTTGGGCGGCAGTGCTGTGCCTGGGGCCTTTTGCGACGTATTTTGGGCGTTCTGTTGCACCTCGTGTCGCAGATGCCCCAATTGCCGTAGGTTGGACTTAATTTTTTTGCGGTGGTATCTGGTGTGCATGATATAAGTGTGTTTGGGGGTTTGTGGGTTTGTGGGTTGTAGTCCTTGCGGTGATGTTTGGTATGCACGATATAAGTGTTAGGGTTTAGGGTTTAGTTTCTTACAGGCTCTGCATGTAATGCGACTCTTAATATTCATATTCTTACGAAACTAGAGTCGTCAGAAATCACACTGTCATGGACTCAAACCCTAAACCCTAAACATTGGCCAGAACTCATGCTAAAACCCAATTTAAAACTCACATATCATATTTGTCCCACTGGTACATTTCTCGTCATACACAGGACCATCACCCAATGGTATAGATCCATCACCCAATGGTATAGATCCATCACCAATGGCATAGATTCATCACCTAATGGTATAGATCCATCACCCAATGATATAGATCCATTACCTAATGGTATAGATCCATCACCCAATTATATGGATCCATCACCTAATGGTATATATGTGCGCTGTCGAAACTGTTGATTGGCTGCACTACGATAGTGCTATAAATAACAACCACTCACATTCTATAAAAAGAACACTCTGACGCACTTCTCGTTTTACACAGAATCATCACCCAATTGTTTAGGTATGCGTTGACGAAACTGTTGTTTGGTTGCACAACTTCATTCTAAAAATAAAATTCACTCACAATCTATAAAAAGAACACTCTCACTTACTTTTTGTCATGGACAGGGATGTCATCTAATGCCATAGATGTGCGCTGCCGGTGCTGTTGTGCTTTAGACTTCACCTGAGGCGAAGCTTGCGTGACAGTAGTAGTTGGGGTGGGCACTTCGGATGCAGCTACCACCGGCTGTGCAATGGGTGAGTATGTAGGTATAGATCTGATCAAGCATATCATTGCATACATACATACATACATACATACATATATATATATATATATATACATAAATACCTACCTACGTACACACCTACCTACACACACACACATATATATATATATATATATATATATATATATATACCCGTACATCTGTGCATGTATTTCTATGTATCGTGCCAAAATAAGTATACAAGTATGAATGCACATATGTATATCTTACTTTTTTTCTGGTGATTTTACTTGTTCGGTACTCATCGTAGAAGTTGCCTCACTTTCACTCTCCTTTACGGCTGCTGTACTAGACAACTTTCGAATTATAAAGAGTACTGTAAATACGGATATAGACACAACTATCGCTACCGGGACCATATAACCATTAGATCCAGACATTATGTCAGCATCGAATAGACCCGCCATTGTGTGGTAAAGGCCAGACATTCGAATCGGTACAGTATGATTGACGAGCTTGTGGGCGATACGTTCATGAGTGTAACTAGTGTTTGCCGCGATAGTACCTATATGTTGTGTTTTCATCACAACACATACATAGCCTGTGATTAAATCGGGAGGCTATGCCCAACATGCGAAGTAGAACCCAAGAGACACGTAAAAGCCTGCCAGACTATTTTATTTACAATAAAAAGTCAAAGATGCTTTTTTTGAGATGGATGAGTAATTATTTCTTAAAAATTAGTTTAAATAATGAGTCACTCTTTTATGGTTCTTTTATATTTGTTTTTAAAAAAAATTGTAAAAATATCAGAAGTGGTTATTTGCAATCGAACGGTTTTAGAACCAGTTCGGTACTACCAGGTGGACAATGTGTTTGGGTGCAGTATTTGGGTTCAGAGGTACAAAGTAAATATATAATATTTAATGAATTAGTCTGACCTAAAACCGTACTAGGTCAAACTCTTTCTGCCCACTCGTACGATATAACTGCTATATATCAAAGCTTTACACGTTTATTTGTCACAGTGATGAGTCGGCAGTTCGACACTCGACAGACTCACAGACTCACTCAGAGTGACAGCCTGGTCAGCTGGTGACTATGACTGGTGACCTCTACATATGAGGCTCTACACTCTAGTCCTCCCCTTTGCTCTAAAATGAAATGCAATTGAAATGTGAAATGATCCTCTATACTAATCAGATATCAAAATTGAAATTCAGGAGTTTGCTATAAGCCAATCCTCTTTCGAAAATGTAATGCAAGAGGAGTCTTTCCACCAATAAGACAGTAAGATGAACTCTCACGTGTATATAACTATATATGTATTGATCCTAATATGTGCATACTTTAGAAATTCTAACCTCGATCCGTTTCAGCGGAACAAGTTTGGAGTTGACCGTAAACGTTTATTTATTTGATTCACAACCTTTAAAAACGTTCACGAGTGTAAAAGAACCGGAAAAGTTAAATAGGGGACTACTATACGTTTTAAAAGAACATCCTGGGGGAAACGTTTAGAATGTTTAGCCCTCCAAGCTCTGGATATGCACCCAAAATGACTACCATAGGGCCACTCAGACATAAAACTTAAACGGAAACGTATCATATTCTACAGTTTATACGTTTCAACGCAAAACGTAATGGGGATAGCGTGCACAAATGAGATGGTATGTATCTCGTGATATCATACATACAATACATACTTCAAAAATTGTTGTCTGTAGTGCCTATTCGTATACGCGTACTATAAGTCTAATAGATATACTAAATACATATAGGTCAGTCGAGTTCAACAGTGTGGTATTTCGTTGGTGTGTGCATAGTATACCTTCACAATCATAACCCAACTACCCCCTATAAAAAGTGCACTATACTCCTTTACCCTGTACATACGTACAGATGGACTGGCTACTTCGTAAGATCTCTCCCAGTGAAGCGTTGACCCGTGCTACAAGCGAAACCCTCGATCATAAGACAACTATGACCCAACCAGTGGAGCAAACGGAAGCGCCAGCCACGGTGATAGAGTTTGCCGTACAGCTACAGAGCCAGAAGGATGTTGACGATGTCACGAAGACGTTAAACGATTTGGGCAGTATGTTGCTTTTGTATCCTTATATTATTGTTGATGTTTGGATTAGTTTCGCTTTTGTGCGTAGACGGATTAAGTGTAGAGGTTGGTTGTATACGCTTGTAATCCTGTGTGTGAATTCAGTATCTCATATTCGTATATGAGCGTGTTCATTATTCAATACTTGTACATACACTCAATGTATATTTTGTAGTTTATAGCTGCAGAGATGCAAGATAATGCTCATATATTTATACAAATACTAATCAAATCTATATGCTGATCCTCGCATCGACGGAAATACATATATCGACCATTATAGCATGCATCACTTTGATTTTTAGTCTCCATATCAACAGTTCTGGATGATTTTTGGTTTATCTGGGTCTAAAGCATGGGTATCTGCGAACCTATTCATATACATTCTACTTGCAATAAATGAAGACATTAAACTTGATGATTGCTTCTTATATATATATATATATATATATGTGTATATATATATATATACATATATATATATTATTTATATATATATATATATATATATATATATATATAGTGTGTGTGTGTGTGTTATNNATATNTATATATTATTATTGGTATATATATATATATATATATATTA